CCCATCCCGCGGGCGGGGTCAGGCCCGCTCACCGGGCTCTGCAGGATCATGGTGACGCGCTTCTTCTGCTCCATCAGGTTGAAGTCCTGCCGCAGGTCCGCCGCGCGGTGGCGGAGGCGCATGTACTCGGGGTCGTCCTCAGAGAAGCGGTCACAGTACTGCTGGCCCTGCGGGGGCGGCGGGGAGGCGGCCTCGGGGACAGGCTCCTCGCTCATTGTGCTGGTGGGTTTGCGATCCACTCCCGGATCCCTGCGGGGAAGGCAAGAGGGGGTGGGGGGCTGAAGGCCCATCGGGGTTCACGTGTCCTAAAGCAGAGGGCCCTGCGACTGCAAGGGCAAACCTGGTGGGGACGCAGCAGAGCCGCGCAGACAGGCAGCCACCGCCCAGTTCTTCTGGGCAGACAGCGCTGCAGGCCAAAATTCTTCCCGAGGCATCACCCACTGTACCCCACCCCTTTTAATACTCCTCAGCACTTCCACAGCCTCAAAGCCTTTAAAAAATAGCAAGAAGCAACCCCTCCCAGAGGGTGCATTGGATGTGAGCCCGGAAAACCCTGGGTCCCTTATAACTTCAGGTCCCACCAGCTCCAGGACCACCTGAACTCTCAGCTTCTCTACAACTAGGATTTTGACCAGCACAGCCTTCCTGGCCTGAATCCTTTCGATCCAGGCAGGCACGGGCTGATTCTCTCGGCTTCCCTTTGGAGTGGCTGCATTTCCCAGGAAGGGGCCCGAGAAGGCTCTGAAGTAGCTCTCCACTCCATGAAGCACCAAGAACAAAGAGGTTCTGGGCCTAATGGACCACACCACCATGTCCCCAGGCCTGCCTTCACTTCTTAAAACTTAGCCCCGGAGGGCTGCTCCAGAGGTGCTCCCCTGTGTGGGGGGTAGGAAATGGAAGCACTGACTCTCTCACCCTGACACAGGGGCCTGCTCAAATCCTTTGATTTTGTGAACCGGAGGCATCCTTTTATGCTCCTTCCTTCCCTTCCCGCAATGTTACCTAGGAGACCAAAGTTGTGTACAGAGCGGCTTAGTGGTTAAAAGCATGGACTCTGGAGAAAGACAATGAGTTCATATTTCAGCTATGTCAGTTAATAGCTGTGTGATCTTGGACAAGTTACCTAACCTCTCTGTGCTTGTTTCCCCATATGTAAAATGGGGATTGCAGCTGTTTAGCTACCTCGTCGTGTTGTTCTGAGGATTAGATTAGTGTATATGAAGTACATATTAAAATAGTGCCTGGTGCATAGCAAGTGCTACTAAGCATTTGCTCTTATTATGTGTTATTTAGAGGCTAGCATCATCATAGCATTAAGAACTCGAGTAACGAGAGGCTTATGATTCGATTGTAAACAGGTGCACACTAAATAACTGTAATTATATGTTTTCGTCCAAAAAATAATTTACTCTTGAGCTATATGAACAAAAAGAAGAGCATGCAGAAAAGACTGGTGAGGATGCTTAGTTCTCTGAGCAGATAGTGGGACATGTCAACCTGGAGGTCACAGGAAAGAGAGTGAGCAGGGTGCTGAAGATCGGAGGAGGCCAGCATTTGTTGCACAGGTGTGACATTGTAAAGAATATATCTGGTCCTTGTCCCCAGTTTTTAAAATGTCCAAAGACATTGGAAGTGTCTTCTGTTATTCATACTGAGCCTCTTTCACCAAAGTTTATGCTCATGTGGTGACTTACGGTGGGCCCTTAGGTAGCTTCAAGGGAAGGACGGGCCGCCAGGAAAAACCAAGCGCTTGATTAGGGGGTTGCAACTTCAGCCCCACCCCCAACCACAGAGGAAGGGGAGAGGCTGGAGCTTGAGTTCAGTCATAATGATTTACACCATTATGCCTAGTAATAAAGCCCCCCTCTCCAATAGTGACCCCCAAGCCCCCTCCCCCATTAGAAACCTCTGGACACAGAGGCTTCCTAGTTGGTGAGCACACGGCTGTGCTGGGCTGGTAACACACCCGGATTCCACAAGGAAAGGGCACCAAGCTCTGCACCACGTCTCCAAGCCTCAAACCTTGTCCTCTGTGCTGTTTCCATCTGGCTGTTCCTGAGTTGGATCCTTTATAATAAAACTGTAATAACAATTACAGTGCCTTCAGTGAATTCTGTGATTGTTCTAGTGAATTCTAGAAACTGAAGGGGGAGACATGGAAACTCCCAAATTTACATCCTAGTCACTCAGAAGTGTGGGTGTCCTGGGGACCCCACTATAGCTGGCCTCTGAAGCAGGGGCCATCTCGTGGGCAACCTTGCCCTTTAACTTGTGGCAGTTAACTTGTGTGCCCTTTGACTCTGGGTAGTGTCAGAGCTGAGATGAATGGTAGGGAACCCAGTGGGTATCAGAGAATTAGTGACAACAGTCGCAGGCAGCTTCTATTCATGAGTTGTTTTCAGTCCCAGAACCACTCTATGAGGCAGACATTATTGTCCCAGGTTTACAGATAAAGAAACTGAATCAGGGAGATTAACTAACTTGCTCAAGATCAGAGACAACAGTGGAGCCTGGGTTCCACCTAGGCCTGTCTCTGTTTCCAGATCTGCACTCCTCCACTCCACTGTCCCCACATATCTGTTGGGCTACCATGTGGAAGAGGGCTGATTCCTTAAGAGCCTCAGGATCCAGAGCCAGAAAAGCCAGCATTTGCTGCAGACAGGCAGATTCTAGCTGATGGAACGAGGGAGAACTTTCCACCAGCAGGGGCTGCTCAGTAACCGGAAGATCAGACAGGCTGCCTCCTCGGTGGGGAGCTCTCTCCTTGGCATCAGGGTGACTCTGGAAGCTGCAGAGGGGCTTCTTCCCTGGTTGGAGGTTTGGACTAGTAACCTCTAAGGTCCATCAGATTCCAGGGTAGCTCCTGAGTGAGCAGGATTGGGGGAGCTCACGCAATGACCTGAGTATCTAGAAGCTCATGCTGGTGAGATAGACTCAACCAAAAAGTGTGCCCCGCCCTCCTCACCACCAAAGCTACCGACTAATTACCAGGAGGCAGGACCAGCCTTGTCCCAGGCTGCGTCTTCTCAGTGCTCAGCCTGTGTGCCCCGCTCAGCTCTCAGGGACGCTGTCCACATCTATAGGATTTCAAACGTCTGGGCGGAAACTGGAAAACACAAAGATGAAAGATATCAGGGTCTGGTCTGCACTGCCATGGCTCCGGCACCTGCTTTCACAGCACCATTGGGTGAAGATTTATATTAAGGATTGCTGGGAAATTCTTTAAAATGAACTTGAAATGAATTTTTATTTTAAAAGCAAATTATGTCCAAAAAAAGGTAAAGAAAGCTTTGTTATCCTTATGATTGGCCTCAAAATTCCTTTCAGAGAGAGGAAATGGAAAATCCCTTTGCTGAGGGTGGGCCAGGGAGGCCCAGAGGAGGAGGGAGGCTGCTCTGCTGGTGGAGGGATTGGAGGGGAGCCCAGAGGAGCCGAATGCTGCTGGACCAGAAGGGATATGACACCTTCCTCACACCCGCCCCCAAGTACCTCACTAACAGCTACTAAACTCACAAATGGGGTGTGAGGGATTTCGGGATGTAGGCCAAGAGACAAAAGAAGCCTGAAGAATATCACACCCCAGGCAAGGGGGAGGGTTTGGTGTTGCCCAGGCCAGGAACTGGTGGGTTCAAGACAATTTCACCTGGAGTGCAAGGGGGAGAAGGGCCCCTACCATACCTGGGTAATAGGCTATAAAGTACTACTGCAGGAGGAATGCAAAGTTGTTAATATCTTACAAACAAGGGCAACTTACTCCAAAAATCCTGGGGCTCAAGGTATTCAAAGGATTAATAATTGAAAAATAATTATTTTAAGGCAAGTGACAGCTGTCCATTTTCACTTGGAACACTGTTGTTCAGGCCCAGAGAAGCTTGTCTTATCCCTGACTCCACCCTACCCCACCATTGGCTCTAGGGGCCAAACCCTGCCTATCCTGCCTCACCAGCCAGATCAGCTCCATCCCTGACCACGTGCTGCCCAGAGCAGAGCATCTGGAAGGACTTGTCTCATCAGAGAGGGGTGAGGAGAATTCATCTTGGTAGGTACAGTGTGCCTGAGGGAGTCTGGGACACCAGGGCACCCAGGACTCAGCATTTCTGTACCAAGGTGGCCCCTGAGCCCCGTCCCGATGTTCATGCCTCTAGTTAGGGACTCTAGATAGAGGCCTCCAAAAGCTATTCTCTATGCTCTGCATGTCAGTGGCCAGCTGCAGCCCTTCTCCCGTTGGTCTTATTTTTAGCTAGGACAGGGTCACGACCACCACTTAATGCTGCTTCTGTTCAATGCCCACCACTGTGGGAACCTTCCTTCCCAGGGTGGCTGGCTCCAAGGTGGGGTTCGCTGACATACCTCTGGATGCTATTCTTTGGCTAGGTGGCCACTGATTCTCCCTCAGGACCAATCCTGCACCTAGGTAAGTTGTCTTAGCTGAAGCACCAGCTTCCTCCCCTTCCCCTGTAGCTCCTGCCACTGAAGTGTGAGGTTGTCCCTTAGCCTGCTAAAGTTTGAATTTTCAGAGTCTGAACTATTTCTTATGTCATTGAAAGAATTACTCTGCCCCAGAAGTGACTTGTACCATTCATGTAGGAAATAGGCATCTGACCCTCAGATAACTAAGTAAACACTGTACACAAAAATTCCCATCCCAAACTCCTCTGTGTTGACATTCCACTATTAGAGCTTCATTCCTTGGTTTATGGGATTATTCCTTGATTAAAATGAAAGCAGCCCTGAGAATTATTGTAGGCAAATGTGTTACTTATAAACATTCTCCTGTGATACCAAAACTGTCAAATCTCTGATCACAGAGTCAGGCTAAGCAATGTCAGGACAGGCACCGGGTCAGCAAGTCTTAACCTTTATCCGATGAAAGGGAACTTTAGTTCCCGGCAAGGAGTGGGTCCCGCTGGCCGAATTTAAATGCTGACGGAATTTAAATGCCGTCTTTTAAAGGTTAAATACTCAGAAACCTAAGCATATATGTTCTTTTTTACAGGCAAAAGGAAAGAAACCATTATTTGTACAGTTGATCCTGGAAAATATATGGAGTTTGTATGATGCTGTCTTTTAAATGTCATCTTTTAAAGGTTAATGGGGAAAAGAGAAGAGAAAGAGGCCTGATGTCAGGGCCACTCAAGAGGGTCCAGCACCTTGGGCAGAGCTGCCACCCTAGGTGAGCCTCTGGAGACTCGGGTTTGTCAACCTTCTGAGCCTGCATCTGCTATGGTATCAACGCCAGCATCGCCACCCACTTAGCTTTTGGTTTCCCCTGCATGTGATTCCAGAGCCCAGCTTGCCCCAGCTTCCAGCCACCCAGGCCCTGTGGGCAGAGCTGAGAAGCAAGAGGAGGGCACCCCATACAGTGAGAACAAGGCGCCTGGCTCCCCCTGGAAGGCAAATCTCCTGGGCTGCCTGCTCCCTTCTCTCAGTGTGCAGTAGAGCTGGGTTGGAGGTGGAAGAGTCAGGATACGGGATCCCAACTCTAGCTGGCTGTCCACTAGACTGTAAACCTGGACAAGTCACAGGTGCTTAGGGGCCTTTGCCCACCTGGATGTCTCACGGCCACCTTGAAATTGACCTGTGGCCAACCATGCACCAGAGCCTTCCTTCCCCAGCCAGGCCTTCCTCTCTGCCCCCCACCCAACTAGCTCCCCTCACTCCCCTAGGGAGTCCCTGAAGGCAGCTTTGTCCCCTCCCTCTCTCATCTTGCACACCCACTGTCACTAAGTTCTCTGGTTTTATGTCCTAAATATCTCCCCATCCAGAGCACCACACCCTGAATCAAGCCCACATCTCTCCATCCCTTCATGGCCTCTGCCCAGTCCTTCTTCTCTCATCCCTCCATCCAGTCAGCAGCCAGAATCTCTGCTCTAAAGGTGCAAATATGGCCCATGCCTGTCACTGCCCTGCTAAACACGCATTAGTGACTCGTCACCCGGGCCAGTGCTGCTTTACCTTTTTTATTCTAATTCCTACTCCTCTGGCTAAAATGTGGTCAAATTTAGATTGTATTACAAAAGTGACAGGTATTCTTTTAACATTTATCAAGTATAAAATTTTAATTCTGAATTCACTTTTTCAAACCAAACACATGCTCCATGCTGAAAATTCAAACCCACCCATCCTGACCAGGGGACTAGGGGGCTGTGGCTCTCTTGCTCTAGCCACCCTCTTCTTCTTGAGGACTGCCACACTGTTGAATGAAGTCCAGGCTCTTAGCTGGCACACCGAGCCCCGTGGGCCTCTCAGTGTCTGCCCCCGCCCTCCTGGCCTGTCACTGGTGCTCTGGGGCTATTCCTAGGACCTGGAAGGCACCAGGCTGGTCCCACCTTGTGGATGGTCCATGCTGGTCTCACCTGGAGCACTCTTTCCTCTTTGCCTTCTCCTTTCAGCTCTGATTGTCCTCTCTCAGAAGCCTTCCCCCCACACCCTAGTCCCTTAGGCTCTCAGGTTACTGTCACTCCCCTCTTTCATCCCACTTACAGCCCAATAGTAACAATCTACTACCATGAGCTCCTGGTGGGCAAGGCCTATGTCTTCAGCATTTCTCTCTTCCCCATGTTGCCATAGGACTTGGTGCCAGGTAGGTCCTAAATAAATGTAAGTTGACTGAAAACTCAACTAACTGAATTGGGAGGAGTTAGGCTGGTTCAGCAAAGCAGCACCCAGGCCCTGGGGTCCCAGAGGTGAGCAAGGCCCAAGGGGAGCTCATGGTATAGTGTGGGAAGATGGTCCCTAAGCAGCCCCTTTCAGGGTAAGGTGCTGATTGTTAATGAAGGCCACAGGGCAAGTGCCCTAGTGCCTAAATCCGCTCCTCTAAAACAAAACATTCTTTTCTTACATAACCCAAGTGCTGGGCCCCTCTGGCACCCATTCTCCTGCCTATTTTAAAGCAGAATTCCATCAACTGATTACAACTCTCAAACTACCAAGTTCAACTCCACAGTATATCATTGATTATGGGGAGACAAGAGAAGGTAATATTATATACCACCTTCATGCCCAATCCCCTGGGCTCTTCCCAATCCCCTGGGCTCTTCCCAGCTCAGCCCTTCCCTTCATCTGTCTCTCTTACCTCTCCCCTCCAGGAGCTGTCCCCTGTCCCCTCCTCAGGACCCTCTGCTCCTTGCTCAGGGGAGCCTTGGAGCTCCCTCTCGGCATCTCCGGTTTGCGCCCTCACACTCCTGACCTACTCAGCAAGGACTCTGGGACTCTCAGTCCTTGGAGAGTACTTGGAGACTGCAAGTCACGAAGGACTTGTCCCTGTCATCGGGCATTTTCTTCCCTGTTCCTCTGAAGACCAGGTATATGTGATCACTGGAGTATGAAATCGCATTTCTATGGGTCATTCCTTGTAGCTATAAAAGAAACAGAAGGTCTAGAAGGGGAGCGACAGATGCCCAAGTTGCCTGACTTTCTGTCAGCTTGTGAGCACGGAGGAAAGGCGGTGACTGTCTCCTGCCACTTCAACGGGAGGTGACAGACAGGAGCAGACAATCTGTATCACCCGGCACCCTGAGTTCTAAGTGGAAAGATGCATCAAGTTGTCATTTCCCACCTGCTCCTATCACTGCACTGGGCATGGCCACCCCTTTGGTGGTTCCAGTCTCTGAAAGCCCTGGTCCCCAGTCCCATGGGTCAGCTCCAGACACAGGCAGCATAGAATCTTCTTCAAGCTTTACTCTGGAAGTCAGACCCAAACTCACCGATCACTGGATGACTTCCAAAGGTGAGGAAGGAGCCGGCTCAGCCTCGCTGCTGCGACTTAGCAGAGTAAATGGAGACTGTTGAATAAAGGACTGGGCCACACCCTGCCTGGCCCCTTCAGATAAAGATAAAGCTCGCACCTCTGGGTGGTGGAATGATGGGTGAAGCTTATCATCAGCTTCTTCACACGCTTCTGACTTTTTCAAAGTTCTACATTACGTATTAACTGTCATAACCATTCAGGACAGAAATAGTTTAAAAGAGGAAAGGGAGAAGGCGATGGTCAGGCTCCCTCTGCCCATCTCTGGAAACCCCTCGGCTGGAAAATCCTTTAACCCCCTGACTGCTGCAGGCCTAAGAAGCATTCATTTCTGAGCGTCTCAGATGCATACTTTCGTG